TCAACAAGCTCAGTGTCTTAGCCACTGAGCCACCTTAAGTAAGGGTTAAAATATAATAAATAGCACGGGTTTTGACATTACTTCAATTCCAGTATATGCCACCTATAAAAATTATATGGGTGAATATAATATATTGTATGGACATTACCAATCTATGGCATTTCCCAAAACAACTATAGTTATCTGCATTAAAGACATGCCATAATTATGGGTTGTTGCAAAATTCTCAAAGCGCAAGAGGAAGAATCTGATGAAGAAAAAAAAACACTAGAAGAAAAGGGCAGGCAGATTTATTTTTCTGCTGAATGTTGCCTTAATTAGGACATCTCTAAATAATCCACTTTCCTACTTTATTATGATTGAAATCCATCTATAAAATGACAGGCCCTTGAGAGAAAGACTGGGTGGTGGAATATAACAATGGACTTATTTTTAAATTCTTGGCATATTTTTACCTCTCAACTTTATGCCCTCTGATATGAATATAAATTATTTAATCAGATTTCCATTTTTATAATCTCATTTTAGACCTCTCGGCAAAAAGAAAAATGGAAAATGGAATCTTTTTGAAAGCAGGAGGCACAATATTCCCTATGCTGTGCAAATCTACAAAATGTTGCATTAAGGATAAATGCCTCCATTTGGGCCCTGTGAAACATAAGAGCCGTGGTGGCACAGTGGTTATAAGGCAGTACTGCAGGCTACTTCTGTTGACTGCCAGCAGTTCGGCAGTTCGATTCTTACCAACTCAAGGTTGACACAGCTTTTCAGCCTTCCGAGATCGGTAAAGTGAGGATCCAGATTGTTGGGGCCAATATATTGACTCTGTAAATTGCTTAGAGAGGTCTGCAAAATACTATGAAGTGGTATAGAAGTCTAAGTGCTACTTCTATTTAGGATAACCAATTTGAGTAAGAAGTTATTTGATCCAGATTTACCATACATTATTATGTGGAGGGACCATTCATATATCCATTGAAAGGCAATGGCGTAAGTCATCAGTAAAAGGTGGGATTTCTTATCTTGGCCATCTCACAAGACAATGGCTTTGAAGTGGATTGATTAGAATTTTTTCTGCAGAAAAATCTGAAGCTTCTTGTGATTTACTGTGATGGGGAAATAAAAAATAACTAACATTTTTGCCTTTGAAGAGATCTGAATAATTAAATTATATCTGCAGGCACAGCCCTAGGTGGATGATGACGGCTGACAAAAAATGCAACTTAAGATAGAAGTATGAAAAGAAGTGTTTACATTTTGCTCAGAAGAACAGTGGATAGAATTGGATGAAATCTGCAGCAACATTATGCTTCTGAGATAATGAATTTATTTCTTTCTATAGCTGGAGAGAAGGTGGAAAAAAATTAAAATGAAATATGTCAGAGACAGTGCAATCCATTACAAGGATTTTTTTTTGAAAAATGGAAGCAGAAAAAGGTTTCCATTGCTTCTTCCTTCTCTTTTTCCCTCTTGAGTTTTGGGATAATTAGTTTGAAAATGTGATGGAGATCCTGTAAGGAGCAAATTTTCATTCTTGAAGTTGATTACTAAATATATATCAGTATTCTCATCTTGTTTAAATGAGTCTTGTGCACATTATATAAGGCAAGACCTGTTTCTCCACCTTGACAACTTCAATTCCCAAAATTCCTCAGCCAGCATCGGAAAGTATGGGGAAGCCAATATGGCTGGCTGGGGAATTGTGGGAATTGAAGTCCACACATCTTAACATTGCCAATATGGAGGAGCACTGTCATTGGGAGTCAGTGAGATGCAATTTTTAAGCTCTTGCTTGAACAGTAGGAAAAGAACTTCTCACTTTTTATTTCTGAATGAAAAGCCAAGCTCAGGACTACTCTTTAAACTCAGCAAACGTGGAACAAAGTAATAATGATGCAGGGGTGGGTTGCTTTACTGGTTGGTACTGGTTTGCTGTGTGCGCGTCCATTGCATGTTGCTCGCACATGAACAGTTGACTGAAAATTGTTCTGCGCATATGCAGAAACATGCCGGCAACAACAGAAGAGAATGGGAAACTAGTTCGGGGGGCGTGGCATGCCTGGGTCGCTCTTGGCTCTATGACCCAGGCCAAATCACCACTACGGGTTCAGCCGAATTGGGAGCAACCAACCTCTGTAATGATGGCCAGGGCAATGTCCCTCTCCCTGCCTCCATTTCTAGGAATCTGGAAATAGCTGCTGCTGGAAGTTCTGGCTTTGGGAGAATATTGGTGACTTATCTCCTTATAAGCAGCCGGGGAAAAATGCAGGGGAAGGTTGTGAGGTCCTGCAGTTGTGGAGTTGTTACCAGCAGTACTTTTTGAGGAGTTACTCTCCACAGTCATCCTTGAAATTCCTGAGTTCTCTTGATGCTGCTGCTGTACAGATACAAAATGATTGAAAAGAGATCCCTCCCCCAAAGAAAAACTGCTAAAACTGTGACACAATGAAGTGGGCTGAATTCCCAGGAGGGATTCCAGAGGAGTACCATAAGAAGCAGTTTAGTCCAGATATCTTGTGTGAGAGAAAGAGTAAAGACAGCGCTTCCCTAACAGTTCTCAGAGTATATGTTTGATGTAGCTAGTAGAATGTTTTACTTGGGCAAGACTCTGTCTGTAGGCAAGGAACACTAAAGAAGCCTGCTTGGAAAAATCACTATGTGTATTTCTTGAGTTTTGCGGCCTGACAAACACTGGGCAGTATAAATTGATAAAGTCATTCTTTGGTTAGAATCTAGAGCTTTTGGTTGTAACTCCTCTTTTCCTGCTAGCTGGCTTTTTTTATACACAATCCTACTGTCAGCATCTTATCTAGCCTATGCATTTCCAAAATAACTAATCAGACTCTGTGAGAATACATAACAATTTGGACAAAGCCAATTTTATAAATATCCCAATTTCTTTGAAATTGTCCACTGCAGTTCAGGATCCAAGACACTGTTCAACCAATACGTTTATCTAATTATTCACCGAAATATCCCATCTGTAGCAACCTCTAGACAAAACTGTCACTCATTGACATTGTGGGGGAGGTGGGAGAGGATCTTCTTACTCTGTACATGCAATGAAACAAACAGATCTTGCTGCAGCATGCAAGGTGGAAATGTGTGGCTGCTAGGTAGATGGAAAACCATAGTTTTATTTGAATTATTTTTTATTCATTAGATTTATATGCCTGTCCAGCTATCCAGTGAAACTCTGGGTTGTGGGAAAAACAACAACAGTCAGATCAAAACAGAGGTATCAGAATTGAAAATCTCAAAACACATACCATATTTTTTTGACGCACCAAGGAATTGAAGAGGTAAATAAAAAAAAAGTTTTTGCACTCTGCAAACCTCCCAAAATGAGCCTTTCCCCCCCAAAAAAGGCATGAATACCCTTTAGGGGGCTTGCAGAGTGCTCCTGGGAGGGGCACCCCCCCAAAAAAACAAGCAAAAACTGGCCCATTTTTTGTAAAAAAAGGGGGGCATGGATAGCCTTTAGAAAACTTATAGAATGCTCCTGGGGAGTAGATTTCTACCCTCCCCAGCCCCCAGGAGCTCTCTGAGCTCTCTGAAAGGGGGCGGGGTTTCAGGAGGCAAAAAAGGCTGTATTCAGTGTATAAGACGCACCCAGATTTTCAGCCTCTTTTTTTAGGGAAAAAGGTGCGTCTTATACTCTGAAAAATATGGTACATCCTAATCAAACCACATACTAACATCTTGGCCCCCAAACCTAGGGGAAGAGACAGTTCTTCCCAGCCTTCTGAAAGTAAGGTTGGGACCATCCTTATTTTGGAGATGCGGTGGGAGGTTGCCACAGAGGGCAGATACCAAGAGAGAAAAAACATACTTCATACGATCCAGAAGGTAATACTGCTTGTACACAGAAACTAGGTCTGCCAGATTATAACCATAGAGTGCTCATATCAGCATGGATTAGTATCTATTTATTAGCTATGCACCAGGGGTGTCAAACTCACGTCATCATGGTGGCTTCACATGATGTATCAGGATTTTTCCCCCTTTGCGAAATCAGGCATGGGCATGGCCAGATGTGAGGCATCAGGCCCATGGCCGGGAGTTTGACTGCCCTGCTATTCACATATATAGCATTGGGGTACTTCCATCTCTGATCACTAGCACTAAATTATAAGAGATAGAAACTCCATCCTTTAATAATTGCTATGCTACAATTACAAATATTGTCACTTGGAGCACCTTAATGAAGAATGGAAGAAATCTGAGTCATTAGTTATGATTGAACTACGCCTCTTAGGAGAACTCAGTGATATAGTCCACGATGAAAAATGTGGGAAGTTATATTCAGCAATATCTGGGAAGAACAGATCCTCCCTTCCTTCAGGAAATAATTTTAAAAAATATATCTGAAAGCCCAACCACGATGATGTAGTTCACAATGAAGGCCCTTGGCTACCAGGGCTTGCCCAAGAAAAGCCTTCATTTCTTGTGGCTTTTTAGTGTGATAAATAGCTGAGCACAAGCAACTGCCACTTTGCCATCTTATCACCACTGTGTAGCTTTGAACATTTTAAAAGAAGCAACTATGAGATATCTATTATGACATATTTTAAATCACAATTGGGCTTTTTGACAGTACAACTTCATTTCATGCTAGCTGTATGCAATATTAAAAGTACAATACATCATTACCATTTGTCAAAGTATCTGTACTAACAATAAGTCCCATAGATTCCTACTTTTTCTGTGTATTTATATATAATGAAGAGATGAAGGGCTAGCAGGCTGGTCTCCTTCTAAATACCAAATGAAGATTGACACACCATTCCTATCTTAAGCGAGAAGCTTGGCAGTGCTGCTATCATTTTTGACACAGTCCAAAGGAAAGGAAACCTACTATAGCTATTCACACCCCAACAAACTTCCCTGCTAGCTAGAACGTTGACATAGATGGAAAGCTGCAAACCATAAATGACAGTGCGTAGAAGCTTGAGTCTCCGGTGAAGCAACAGAAAAGAAATAGAAATCATTTTGATTACCTTAGATACCCTGTTAGCAACTTCTCTCCCCACGGTCAGCCCCTGAACGAAGGTCCTTGCCGCGATGAAAGCTCTCGTCACCTGAACCTTGAGTTTTCTGGGTACATCTCCAAAAGGCTTAAGCTGGTCTGTGTATTTGCTCACGCACTCTAGATAGTCCTCAGAGAAATGATAGTGGGGGTTTATGAGCTGGAACATTCGCTCTAATAGACGGGCCCAGAAGTCATTCAACATCTCCTCCAAGTTCACATTGCCTCCTGTGTAATATCGTTTCAGTTCTATGAAGAGGTCCTGGAATACTTCTGAATTCTGCATGTACAACATGCCGTATGTTCGTACAAACATATCATTCAAGGATCTTTCTGCGTTCTCCAGGAGCTCTCGGAAAAATTCTACACAAAGAAAGAAAGAAAAAAAAAATAAGCATACGGATGAGGAAATAGAAAAGAACAGAATAGAATTCTTTATTGGCCAAGTGTGATTGGACACACGAGGAATTTGTCTTTGGTGAACATACTCTCAGTGTGCATAAAGAAAAATAAAATAGAAGAATCTATTGAATCGTAAGAGTTATAAGATGCAACACTTAGTGATAGTCATAGGTTACTAATAAGCAATCAAATCACACTAGGAAACAAATAAAACAATATAAATTGTAAAGATATAAGCAACATGCTTATAGTCATAGGTGGGAAGACATAGGAACTAGGAAAGATGAGAAGAAAAATAGTAACACAGTCTTAGTAAATAATTTGACAGTGTTGTGGGAATTAATTGTTTAGCAGAGTGATGGCATTCAGGGAAAAACTGTCCTTGTTGTGTCTTGTTGTTCTGGTGTGCAGTGCCCTATAGCATCGTTTTGAAGGTAGAAGTTGAAAGTAACAACAGCAATAATAAGAGTAGTAAGAACAGAAAAAGGCAACCTAAATGATGAGGGCGAAAGGGGAAGGTGTGGAGATTTTTAACTTAATCTGGAACAAAAGGAAAATAGAGGGAAATTCAAGAGAAATCTATAAATGCATGTGTACAGAAATTTAAAAATGAAACATCTTTTTTTAATCCAATAATATTAGAACCCAGATTATGGTACATTTAATCTAATAATTATTATGATATTAATATTTAGGCAAATTAAAGGAAGTAATACTTCATATAAAACACAATTAAACTACGGAATACATTCTTAGAATCTTAAGATGCACTAATGAGAATTAAGAATTCAATAAATTCAGGAAGATAGGGCCACGAACAGCTATAAAATGCCTCCTATGTAAAAAAAAATACTGTAATTTTTAGCTGTTCTATAATAATTTATCCAAGCTTGACACAGCTCGTATGATAAATGTTATTAATCAAAACAAATCTACAATGCTAACAGGAAAAGATTGCAAATATAAACAAAGTGGCACCAGGGACTAAACAAAAGCTAAAATAATCGCCTAACTGGATAAAATCATTGACCTTAAAAACCTAAACTGTTCTAAAGATTTTAATCCTTAAAGATCAAAGTAAAGGGAAAACTGAATTAAGCGGATTAGATTTATGTTCTTCACATGAATACCAACAACACTGTCTCAACAATAAAAACAGTTATTGCACAACTTCTCGCTTTAATAGATTGCTGTGTGGAAGATGCATGGTATAGTATAATAATTATATTTACCTTTGTATTTTTTTAAAAAAAAATCTGATAACTCTACAATACTTAGCTTTGCTCCTATTGGGGAAGGTAAATACTGGTATATATTGCAAAAGAGTCTTAGATTTGAACTGCAAAGTGTTTCCTTAGAAAACATTAAAACAGAAGCTGCTGGATTCCTCATGAGATAACAAAATCAAATAGTCATAGCTTTAAATGCTAAATATGTTTTAAGGAGGCTGCTATAAAAGTTTCATTTATACTTCAAAGACTGATTCAGTGTTTAAGCTCTGAAAGTAGAGTAACTCTTATTCCTTAGATACTGAAAGTAGAATAATTCTACTCCTTTAGCATTTTGAGTACTAAATAAGTAGTCAATTGAGTACTAACTATAAAAGATGTGGTGGCGCAGTGGTTAGAATGCAGTACTGCAGGCTAACTCACTGCCGACTGCTAGCAGTTTGATTCTCACTTCCTCAAGGTAGACTCAGCCTTCTATCCTTCTAGGATAGGATCTAGATTGTTGGGGGCAATATGCTGACCCTGCAAACTGCTTAAAGACGGCTGTAAAGCACTATGAAGCGGTATATAAGTCTAAGTGCTATTGCTATTGCTAAATATGAGGGAATTATTTAGATAATGGCATACCTACATCAACCAGCCAAAAACTGAGGAACTGTTCACACTACTTATATATTGCGTCCTAAAGATCTAGTTTTCTTAAGAGCTAAAGTAATTTCTCTTTGGACTTTATCCAATGTCATCAAAACTGCAACTGTTTAGAACTTCCTCTAATAATCATATTTTTAAATATAAAATTTCCAGAAGCTGGTTGGCAGATGCCATGCTGGAGGCAACCATAACTGGAGCCAAAATCAGCTCCCCACCCCTGCCCACCAAATGCATTTCATTCATTAGATAGGAAACTTCCTTATTTTAAATATCTACCTTTTGAACATCCGCTTCTACAAATATCAAATATGTTCCCACAAGGTCAGGATAAAAATATATATAATTCATAGAGTAAATGAAAGACCCAGTAGTGCATGGCCACTCTGCAAATTTAAATCTGCACAAAGAAGTGGTTGTAAATCTGTTCCCCTTCTTATGCATTGGACTGGAACGCCTCTTCTGCCAGACAATTTATTGCAATGTATTCCTACATTTTCAAAATACTAGGAAAGACTAATTTAAGGATGATGTTTGAAAACAACAACAACAACAACAACAACAACAAAAACAACAACAACAACAACAACCCAGGATCCTTGAGAACATTTTTAACTGTTTGCCTTTTTTATTTAATAAGTTGGAATTTTTTAACTGGAGCCACACATGTGAACCATGAAATAAACCATCACAACTGAGTCAATTCAGGGATTGCTATAAAGTTCCACTTCCTTTTGGAAGTGGAATTATGGCTCCATAGTTATGTTGTAGGAAGTACTATGTAGCGTTATTGACATACATAGTGGATTACAGTCTATATTTTGTTTTATTCACTTTAAAAGTTTTTGTAGCAGCTATGTTTGTGTTCTTTTCATCTGAATTTATTACATTAAAAAAAGGAGGAAAGGAAATCCAGTTAGCAATTCTATACTCATTTGTCTTCACACGTTAAATTCAGTGAAATGTCTAAGCAAAGATGGTAAGATTGTTGATTCTGTGGAATATAAAGACCCTATAAAAATTACTCTCCTATAAATATCACCCACTCTCCCTCCCACCCTCCCTGTGTTTGTATATAGATAGATAGCTCTCTATATACCACATATATATTCACAAACAGCCAGGCGTGGGCTTCAAAAATTACAGCAACGGGTTCTCTGCCCAGGTGCTGGGTGGGTGGGGCCATGGTGGGCGTGGTCTAGTTGGCTTTTTGCACCATGGCAGGGAGGCTGTTTTCACCTTACCACAGGCTCCATAGGCTTTTCTTGAGCCTCTGGGAAGGTGAAAACTGCTTCCCTCAGGCTACGGAGGCCCTCCGGAGGTTGGAAACCCCTGTTTCCAGCCTGCCAGAACTTCTGGGAGGCCTGTTTTTTCCCCTCGCAGAGCCCCTGCAAGGGCCCTGCACTTGCCTCCCATCCAAAATGGGCTGCATGGAGACTCCTGGGAGGAGTGGGGTGGGGTGGGCGGGGCCAGCCAGGGGTGAAATTTGGAACCATTAGCTATAAGTTCTCCCAAATCCAGCCAAACCCATAGCAGCCCACCCCTGCAAACAGCTATACATTCCCACACACAGCTTCTTACCTATACACATACATCTTAAATCCTCCCTCCCTCCCTCTCTCTCTATCCCTCCCTCCCTTCCTCTCATCTCTAGCTTTCTTTTTCTGTAACCACAAAAGAATAATGGAAAACAAGAAATACACTTTACAAATTTACAAATAGTTGTTGCTTAATGACTGGCTTGTTCAGTGAAATAAATCTTGAGAAAAAATGGTATCTATTCATGCAATGTTAACTTGTAGCCCATCTTCACCCTCTTGCCTCAAATCCTATAAAATAATAAGTGCCAACTAATTGCAGACTTGTTTCTGTATTAGTAAAAAAAAAAGAAGAAGAAAAAAAATCAACAGAATGTAGTAATTTTATTGTCCCCTACATGGCCATAAATGTTAAGTGCTGCTGTTTTTACCAAGCATATAATTAAGTGTGTGTTCCCATTAAGCAATATAATATTAGGCTTCATTATGAAATTACACTGTTCAGTTAGTTTAGTATCTAAAATACAGTTGTCACTTTTAGTTATACAGGTATAATTTCATTAGGCACCTGTTACTTTCCTAGACAGCTAAATAGTACTTAATTCATATTTGCTTTTTAACTAGCAAGTAAAGCTGCATTTTAATTAGTAGAAACCCTTCACCCCAGAGATAACCATGGTGATAATGTCCAATTAATTAATATTATGTTATGATGCCGCCTGTTCTAGATCAATAAAACAGAATAATGAAGTATAAGGTCAGAGATTATATTTCTGAATATTAATCTATTATAAAAATGAAAAAAAAGCAAGGGAAGTAGAATAAGGTAGATTTGTTTTACAGATATTAGGAGGGGGAAAAGTATGCTTAAAAACCTGTAATCGGAAAGCAGTGTGTAGTCAAAAGCATGTATCTCTTATTTAGCTATTCTACCCCTAAGCTCTTGTTTACTTTAAACATGGGAAAGTAACACATCACACAAACCATCTCATTTACATAGACCATTGTGTATTTAAATAGAGAATGCAGATTAAATGCAAATATTTGCCAAATTTGACAGATGAAAACAGTAACATTGTTAGTGACTACCCTATTCTCAAGCATGACTCAGCCACTGAATACTCTGCTAAGCATTTTTTTTTTGAAATGCAAGCCACCTTTCTGTTTGAGAAATTCACACAAAGTGCCATGTTTTTAGGGAACATTCAAGGGAATTTGCAGGAACAAGTCAGGTTTAGCCATTTGTGTTAGCATGCAACAACCACCTGGTTGCATCACATAATGACTACAATCTCTGCAGCCATAAACAGGGGTGGGCTTCAAAAGTTTTAGCAAGGGGTTCTCTGCCTGGTTGCTGGGTTGGTGTGGCCATGGTGGGCATGGCCTGGCTGGCCTCTTGCACCATGGTGGTGTCTGTGTGTTTGCCCTCCCTGGCTCCCTTGAGCCTCCGGGATGGTAAAAACAGCCTCCCCAGGCTCCGGAGGCCCTCTGAAGGTCATTTCCTGCCTTTCCAAACTTCCAGTAGGCCCGTTTTTGCCCTCCCTGA